TCTAGTTTCTGGTCCTCACACCTTATATATCTTCCTGCTTTCTGCCATCGCTCCCTGGGATTAAAGGCGTCATGAGTCACCATGCCTGGCTGTTTCCAATGTGGCCTTGAACTCAGAGATCCAGAGGGATTTCTGCCTCTGGAATGCTAGGATTAAAGGCGTCTGCTACCACTGCCTATCCTCTTTGCTTAATATTGTGGCTGTTCCATTCTCTGAATCCAGATAAGTTTATTAGCATGCACAATATTTTGGGGAACACAATACCACCACATCTAGTCAAGGTCATACAGCTATTGGGGTTAAAATCATAATCAGTAGAGAATCTGATGATTCTCAAACTGTACGTCACACAGCTCAGAATTATTTTTATTGAACATTTGAGTAAGTGCTGTGCTTATGTATGCAATGTATGTACTTGTTAGTGTGAGTGAGTGTGTGTGTGTGTGTGTGTGTGTGTGTGTGTGTGTGTGTGTATGTGTGAGCTTGAAAGTGTGGAAGTATGTGTAGAAGCACATGCACGTTGGGGCCAAAAGCGTACACTGTCTTTCCTCATCATTACATCTCCATCATTACATTTCCTTTCCATTTTTCACCACAGTGATTCTCACTAACCTGATGCACATAACTTTATGCTAGGCTGACAGGTCAATGGGTTTCAAGGATCTGCCTATCTTCATTAGCCCAATATGAGAGTATCAGAATTAAGTATGCCAATTGTTTTCTTAAGCACAGCTCCTCCCCTTCCTTCAACTCTATAAAATCAAAATCTCCCTTCTGCTAAAACCATGGGGTCTTAATTTTCAAGGATTCTCCCCAGAGATTATAGTTAACATTAAAGTATGAGTCCAACTGCATTCTGAGCCATAAAGGTTTCCTTTCAGGTTCAAATAAATTGACTGGTCAATTTATACATAGTGCCATATTTCATTAACTTCTTAAAGCTTTATTTTTATTATTTTAAGTTTTTTTGTGTGTGCGTATATGTGTGTGTGTGTGTGTGTGTGTGTCTGTCTGTCTGTCTGAGTGAATGCTTTGTATGTATAGATACCTACAGAGACTAGAAGAGGGAATTGGATCTTTTGGAGCTAGAATTATAGGCAGTTGTTAGCTGTCCAGTGTGGGTGTTGGTAACTGAACTTGGGTCTTCTGGAAGAAGAGAAAACCCTCTTAATTGCTGAGACTTCTCTCCTGCCCCATTACTTCATTAATCCTAAAATTCAGTTTTTGTTTACAACTTGCCATTTCTGAAATATGACTGCCTGTCATAACTGGTAGCATCTTGCTACTATAACAAAAGCAAATGTTAGTTGTTTTGAATCGGTAACTCAGATTTGCTATTGCATTGAGGCACACTGGATAATAACATAGAATCATATTTACTACACACTGTTCTTTTAAATCCTGGATCTCAAATGAAATTGTGCTTAGGATGTCATGAGAGGGATAGGCTGGAAAAGGGGCACGTCATCCATTGTATGCATATTCACAGAGCTAATGAGTGAGTAGTCTTTAGCAGTTATGGTAGATGAAATGACGCATCTGGAGATGCACACTTTGAATATGGCAAATCATGTAAATAGCATGTGTGTCTGAGTAAGGAGCCCTATTGGAGAAATTGGAAATAATTCAAAAGGCTCATTTCCAATATAACATGTGTGCAAGGCGTTTTTCAGCACTACACCTTTTCTTCAAAAACCAGCAGCACATTCAGAGATGATAATGTTCGTCAACGTTTCGGCATCCTTAGCTCCCCAAAGCTGTTAAAGTGCTTAAAAAAGACCACTGCCCTCTACCACTCATCAATTATCTGGAACATCATATTATACTGTTGCTAGTATCTCTCTTTCACAGGGGAGAGGCAGAGTTGTGGGGACATAAGAGTAGAAAGTCATGAGAAATTGGTGAAGAGTATGAACAATGTGAACTAGTTCATACTCTTAATTTGCAGTGTGAACTTGCTTGATGAAGGACATATTAAAGTAAAATGTACTCTAGACTAGCCTACAGCTTGTTGTGAATTCACATAGGAAGGGGAAGGTCTGCAGAGCAGCTAGGCTGAACTTACAGTGGGCATAAGGAATGAGAAACATGTACATGTGGTCAAATATTTGCAAGTATGCTCATTAAAATCCTTTAAAGGCTTATTTAACTCATTAACCCTCTGCTTTCATTTTCTAGTTCATGTGCCCCTATTCAAAAGCATTTGGTTGTGAATTTTTTCTTTTTCTCCCTTCTACTGATGTGGATTGGTTCCTTGTAAGAGACATTAACCATAGCCTTTCTTCGTCTTCGTCTCTCTGAGAACAACTGTTTGTTTCTACACCACAAGCCTCACCACGCTGTTTGAGCATCCTGAGACACCTGATGACCTATTGTGCCTCTTATTCTAGCTACACTGTCTGAACTGGATATGCAGTCTCAACCGTCCTTGGGACAACTATGGAATGAACACTCTGGGGCATTGCCTGTCTTTTTTCTTCTTATGCTTTTACTCCTTGTTTCTTAGCTCTTGTCAGAAAATCCACTGTTTTCTCATTCTGGTTCAACTAAAAAGAGTGCGTGGAGGGACAACTGCTACACTCAATTAGTGGGAACTAATTTGTCTGTGAGCATGTTTGAAAGCTTGAAAGAAGACAAAACAGAGAAATCACTGCTGAGGGCAGAGAAATGGACTGGTGAGTAAGAAATCACAAGCTCCGTGGAGGTTGCATAATCAGAACTGGTGCCGTTTAGTATCTTCAGTTCCTCAATATTGTAAAGGCCTTTGGGACACTTGCAAAGTTCCATTGAAATAATTTATATATTGTCACAAAAACTTAATCAACAAAAAACAAAAGATGCACGTTTATTTAATTAGCAAATTTTAACACACAAAACACCCTCACTACTTACTTAACAATTAAGTGCTGCACTATGGCTATATAATAGCATCATACCATTCTGTCATTGAGTTCATTGAATAACTAAGTAATAAACTGATTGTACTAAATTGCATGTTCCAGTGAATTCAGCTATATAATCCCAAACAGAAACAAATTTAGAAGATCATTAGCTATCTTTGCTAAGTACTGTTTTGATTTTTACTATTTGTTTGGTTTTTATTTGATATGAGATCTCACTCTGTAGTTTAGGCTGGCCTGGAAATTGCTAGTTCACTGTGACCTGAAATGTGCTAAAATGTGGTGATCTTCCTGTGTTTATCTTCCTAAGAATTGAAATTTCATGTGTGAACCTCCATGCCTGGGTTATAGCATATTATTTTTTAATATTGTTTTGTAATTTAAATGATCAAACATGTCTGAAAATGCTTGCTGCAAAGTTTATTCAAGTTTACTTGGTGATTGGAGACCAGGACATTTATACTGCAAAAGATATGGAAAGAAATAGACTTTGAATTAAGATGGAACTTGTATGTCTTCGGAACATTAAACAAGCAAGCAAAAAATGACTTAATCTATGATTAATAAACTATAGTAGAAAGAAAAGACCCTATAAAGTATTACTTCCATGTTTAATTTGGGCTTTTACTGTAAACATGTTAAATTAGGCTAATTTTCTTTAGGTTAACTTTGTGAGTTTTCTTTGCAAAAACAATATTAACATTTGTGCTTTGACTATGAAAAACTGAGCTGAGCCTTCTGGTGCATGACTATAATTTAAATTTAATTTAATTTTTATTTCTTAAAAAAATTTTAACATGCAAACCACCCCCTTTCGGGTATTCAGATGCTGGAAGATCCAGAGTTCAAAGTATGTCCCAGCTACACAGTGAGTTTGAGTCCAGCCTGGGCTACATGAGGTCCTATATCAAAAAAAAAAAAAAGGAAAAAATTATTGTTGCCTGTTAAATTAAGAAACAACAGATATTTGTGTCGAAAACAAAACTTTTGCAACAATTGGATTTCCTTTTTCTTTTTTTTCCTAATACACAGTACTTACTTTCTGTTTATGAAATGTCAATGATTTCATATTAAAAGATAAAAGTTCTGAATATTTCCTAGCCTCTTGAGTTTAGTTCAAATATAACTTAATCAGCAATAAATCATGCTATATTACCTCATTCCTATTAAATATAGAAAAACATGGATGGGCAGCCTTGACATAAACAAGGTTACTGTTTCTTCTGGGAAATAAAAATAAATAAAACTTGGAATAACTTCCTACTATCTTAGGAAATAAAAAAAAGGATTAGATATACAAAATGAGTAAAATTGAAGTGGCTCATGAAGAATGCAGAGTAATTTAACACATAGTGAAGGAACCATTGGGAGGGAGTTGATTTTCAAACACAATTAATGGGCTTAAATGTTAATTATCTCTCTATTTCTTATTGCACAAGGGTTTACTCTGAGGCATAATGGAAAAAATAGAGGAAAAATTAAGCCGAATAGACAGTAAAGACTTGTACTAGTTTTCAGAATTCCACTTACACTTTAATTCCCACTGATCATAGTGGAACTCTGTATTTGTTTCCTTGGGAAGACTCACATTTAGCTGACAGTGTCCTTGTGAACAAACATGTGATTAAAAAAAAACCCTCTCTGAATAAGGTTAGCATCATCAATATGAGATTACTGCAGCTGGAATCATGACATCATCAAGCTGCGATCATTTCATGTCTAGTACAGACGCCTAGGTACATCATATATATATATATATTTTTTTTTGAGATAGGGTTTCTCAGTGTGTAGACCAGGCTGGCTTTGAACTCACAGAGATCTGGCTGCCTCCACACCATAATTCTTAAATCATATTCATTTAGGAAGATTTTAGTGTCTATGAGTTTATCACAATCATATAAACGATATCTCGTGAAGAATGTAAAAATCTACCCAAGTCTTGATGGTCTAATTATGCTCACTGTGATGGTGAGTCTATAAAAGCCCCTTAATCGAGAAAGAAATGATGACACTTTCATTTGAATTGTTGTTCTAAATATCATTTTTGTTTTTTTAAGTTAATTGCTTATTGACAGCAGAAAATTTTCCCAAACACTAATAGAGTATTTAACATAATGTCATTTATTGAAAAAAAATCCAAAGGAAAATAACATACAGCTATCTGAAACTATTCGGAAGAAAAATATCAAAATGTCAATTAAGTGAAATCTAAACTTTATGGTCTCCAATGTAACTCATTTGCATATAAATTTAACACAATGCATATTTGATTAAACTTATACATTTAAATATACTGGTGAGACTCGAGAAATAAAAATGATAGCCTGGAAACCCAGGGCAACAGTGAAGAGCCTTACAAAAACAAGCAAAACTACCAAGCTCATCCCTACTCATAGATTTTCCCATCATTTTATTGAAAAATAAGAATACATTTCAGATCAACTCAATGAAAATTAGTACAATTGAAATTAAATTCAATCAGTTGTAAATATATCCTTGAGAAAACTATTGCAGTTTCTACCCAGAGTTTAACCTCAGCCTTACTCCAAATTTTGGATTCCTGTTTGAAATTCTCACATGGGTTCAGGGTAGTGAAAGCACTACTCATAAATTTATTGAGCTTTAAATGAACATGTGCTCATGAAGTAATCCATATAGAAATGTGTGGAAGCTTTATCGTTATATCTCTCTTTTATTTCCAAGCAGACATTAACCCACTAGGGACTGTTCCTAGTTGACATACTTCACATACGATTCTATGTTTATATACTGTGAATATTCAGCCAACTTTTCAAATTAGCTTTGAGAAAAAAAATCAATTTTGTAGTAGCTTTTCTCCGAAGACAGAGTAGAAAATGACATACATTGCATTCTAAAAGTAACATTGAGAAAATGAATTAAATGGGTGAGCCACAAAGGGAAGGTTGTAGGAAAAGAAGTAGCATGGGATTGAACCCTATGATTTTATTGTTTTCACAGAAAATGCAATAACTCCTCATTGACATCAACTGCCCAGTTGTAAGAAGAGTGTGCCTTCTGCTTTGTTGAGACACAGCTGAAACAGTGCAAGTAGTCATCAACCAGAATTTTTTTGAGGGGAGGTAAATTTTTGCCAGTTTAAATGTCTATGGAGTGGCCCTGGTATTTGAAAGGCACATTAAAAAAAAGTTTTGTGATACAGAACACGTATTTAGGAGAATCATTTGAAAAGTTTACCCAAATCAGATCAGTCTGTCACCAACTTTAAAATTACCAATAAAAACATAAAATTAAAATGATTATGAAAAATAATCATTTTATTTTTTTAGGTTTATAGTCTTAAGTACAGAACTAAATGGATTATTCTTTAAATTACACATTTTGTTGGTAGATAAGTTTATTATTATAAAGTACTTAAAATAAAGTTTCATGTTTGGTGAAAAATTAGTACAGCTGTAATTTATTTCATCATATTTCTAAGTATGAAAGTAAAGAATGGAATTATTTTCATTGTATATTACATGGTATAACAGACTAGGTTCTATTTCAGATATAATCCATTGCTCTGCTGAGTCAGTTCTGTGGGAAACATGAAATGAAGGGCCATTAGTGTCAAAGTCTGCTGCCTGACATTGTAACTATACATCTGTCAGTTCTCTTAAAGAAATGTAATCATGGGCCAAACTCCTCATCTGTTGAATATAACAAGTCACATGGAACCAAGGACCACAGCAGATCAGGAATACATATGATCCACGGTGGAACTATAAGAACAGATGGTAGGAAAATAGATAGTAAATGGAAAAGCAAGGGTAGGTATGGATGTAAAGCATCTAAGAAGACTCTGATGTTTTAAAAAAGCAAAGGAAATTAGGCTATAACCTGCATAGTCCATGATTAGTTATACAATCTATGATTGTGATTTGGTTATATTTTTTTCTCACTTTTAGGTTTGAAGGAAAGAAGATCATATTTGGCATTGTTGGCACTTCTGGCAACCTTAGTGAATGTGGTGAATATTCATACTCAGGTCCTCTCAGTTCTTGGGTGGACCTTCATATCACTACATAGAAATACTGCTAATTATAATCAAAATAGGCCCAATTGTAGAAATGGTAACATGTAGAGAAACATCTTTGAACTAACTGATGAAAGTGGTACCACTTCTGATTAATGGGGATCAATTAGTGTCAATAATTGGAGATTATATGGTATGTTGTCACTCCCAGAAAACAAAAACCTGATTGCTAGATGCTTCCCCATTAAAAAAAAAAATCAGCTCAACTGGCTTCTCTCCATTATAGACGGACACGCTACCAAGATGGTGCAGGGAGGCTGATGGGTCCAGTTTCTTGTAGACACAGCAATGTTAGGAATGGGAAAGCAGTCGATAAAGGGGTGTTTTAAGGGTTCCGTGGTCATTAGTTCTATTAAAGACAAGGTGATTTCACAAAATTTCCAGTCCACGTACCCAAATCATTTTTAAAGTTTCCACATTTTTAGCCATTTACTTTCAACGACAGCAACTGAGCATTTGATCTGAAGTCGAAATACCGATTCTGTTGGTTGGTTTGTCTAAATGATGTCAATCTCATGTGAGAAATTCGTTTTATTACCATCCCAGTGGTCTGTTTGCTTTCACCTCTGATTGCCCCCTGTTCTTCACAGTCATCGGCAACTTCTTAGAAGTTTAATCAAAATGAATTTTGAAGTACCAGCCAGTTCTCATGAACTTTGGAAGTGTGTTTTCTTACAATGGGAATGTTTAGGAAAGATTTTAGTTATTTGATAAATGCTTAATGATACAATTCAAACTTTTACTTCTAGCAGATTGTTGGCTCGGGATAGCTTAGAAGAAACAAACCTTGTTATTTTTCTTGAAAGGATATACATGTTTTCAAATAATCTGAAATTTGGGGTCTCTTTTTCTGTAAGTTTCTTTGCAAAAGCATGATTCAAATCAACTTAAAGATAACTGAAAGAAGATGACAAATTAAGCCTCTCTTTAAATCAAAAGATACTATTGGTGTCCTGGCAAAGAGAATGCAAAAAACATAACAAAATAAAATAAAATAAATTCTGTTTTACTAATCTTGGATAATGAAAAGATGTGGTTGGTTGCAATACAGTGGAAATAGAGACAATTGCAGATTTTTCAAATGCCAGATGCCCCAGATATCACTTTCTTGAAATCTTTGGTTTGATAGAATGAGTGACTTTGAACTTTTGAAAAATTTTCAATATGACTATTTAAGTCAAAGAAATTATGATAATCATTTGTTTCTTCTGTTCAGCTTAAAGGATGTGAGTTAGCTTGATGCTGCCACTACCTAGGTCTTCTGATATGTCCTCTTTTAAAATGACTGTGAAATTATACATTAAATTTCAACTTGCATTTGGTTTGTATTTTACCTATAGAGGTAAACATTTTTTTTTACATGTATTACAGATAAAGGAGAGTGTATCGGGTGTTCCTATTAAAATTTCTTTCTGTGGACACTAATTGTGTATGAAGCACTGAAGATTTATCCCAAGATAACAGAACCAGTAAATTGCATAACTAATCTCATTTTAGTGATAATTGAATATTGTCCAACAAACACACATACTGCTTATCATACCTTACCTGGAAAGAGCCTTTATTGAACAAAGCTGTAAAATTATATTTTAAGTTGAATTATTGAATTTGCACAAACATTTCTACAGTTGTCTTAAAAAATCAAGCTTTGTCATTTTCTACTACATTTTGTTGTGCTTTTTATATTAATATTTGCAAATACTGCAATTTAATACTTTGATCCCAATTACTTGCATAATCAGTATTTTTTTAAATCCTGGGGTGTGAAAAGAACAGATCATAATAATATTCTTCTTTAGACAAAAGTCTTTTTAAATGAAGTTAAAAGCTGAGATAATTTAAGGAAAAAGATCTTCAAATTTTCATAACCAACAGGTGTAAGTGAAATTTACAATGCATTGGAAAACTGGCTGGTTAAAGGTGTGGTTTGTCCTCAGGTAGCTCAAAATCATTTTTACAGGTTTTTGTTTTTTTGTAAAAGTGTTTTTTTTTTAATCTTGTTAAAATAATAAAATAATATTTCACAATTTGCACAGAGTCTGACTAAAGGGCAGAGGCATATTACCCTCAGAGTTTAGAATAAAGCCAGATTTTGTCAGGCCCAGTTCCGCGGCAGAGTTCTTACGCACGGCAATCTCAAACATTTCCTTGTTCCCTCGAAAGGCAGGGCCAATTTCATTTCAGACGGAGGTTAGAGTAAAAAAAAAAAAAAATCACTTCTGTGTTTTACCACCTTCTGCGCTAAGTATTATCACAGCAACCTTTTGCTCTGGTTGACCCATCTAATAACCTGGAAGAAAAAAGTGTTGCTCCCATGTCTGGTCTCAAGAGAAGTTCCTTTCCATGGACAATAAGCCGAAAGGCCATGGCTGTCTGGGAGGTGAAACAAATGATCTTGTCTGCATGGGCTTACGCAGCAGCGGGTCCTTTCTTCTTCAGAAGCGGCTGGGGCGTCTTGCCTGTAATGTGCACACTTAGGCTGTGTCGTCTGTTTACAAAATAGTTTTACACAAGCCTTGGTTAGCGGTGCAAGCTTCTGAGTTGAAAATTATTCAGGCTTGTTTCATTGAAGGCACTTGGTTTCCATGGCAATTTATAAAAGATGGTGGTTTGGTTTCTTCATAGGAACAGATGACGTAGTTTGGGTGTTCAAGTGGCCGCAAGCAAACTCCGATAAGCCTGTGTAATATGTAAGCCCAGGTTTACTGTCCTGGATAGTAGTGCATGCAAAAAGAGACATCATACAGTTACCTAGCTTAGCCATGGGAGGGAGGAAAAGAAAAAAAAAAACAGCAAAAAACGAAAAACGACAAACAGCAACAACAACAACAACAACAGAAACAAACAACAGTAAAGTGCGGTGGGGGTAAGGTGGGGAGGAACATGAAACCTCTAAATAATTCTGAGTTTGGAGTATTTTCAATGAAGGGTAACAGCCAAAGGTAAAAGGGCCTACATTTATTTAATTCTCTACATAAAACCTTCTTGAAAGGAAAATAAATGCCAGCTCTCCACGTACCCTGTTTACAGTGAGGTTTTTGTTGGCAGGCCATTAGGTTTCCATGGTAACAAGCAAACTATTCATTTGAAACAAAACCAGCCATGACTTTGTGCTTTGACGAGGATTTCTATAGCTCTTTTTTTCTTCTTCTTTTTTCTTTCTTTCCTCTTTTTTTTTTCTTTTTCCAGAGTTCAACCAGATGAAGCTGTAATCCTTTTAGCCACAAAAGCACCTGAAGGTCTCTTCCGTACCCAGGCCAAGATTATCTTCTATATGTAGTTTGGAATAAGTTATATTTCCATGGTGTCTTTTTTTTAATCCCCAGTGCTTAAAAAACGTTGTTTTTATTATTAACTTTTGAGTCAGTAGTCAGTGGAGGAATCTTTGGTAGTTTGTTTTTTTCAGTGTCCATTTACAAAGACTCTTTCTTCACGCCAGTGCCTGGTGAATCATTGATAGCCTCTGCCAGGGTAAGGTCACCTTCGAGGACTCAAGATAGAGATGAGGATGATGACTGGAAAGAGCCATAAATGAACTAAGATCCCAACAGCACCATCCACGGAATCTAGAGACAAGGAAGATAAGTGCCCAGAACTGACATTAAGGACATAAACATTCCACTTGGTTACTTGTACAGCTTTTTTGAAAAAAATAAATTCAACACATGGAAGGTAATTTTGGAAAAAAAATAGGTTTTGCATTACACATCAGCTTTATTTCTCAGGCAAGCAGAAAGGGAAAAGCAGCCTGGATAGACAGTTATATGGCAGACACATATTACTCTGTATTTACTAATTTGAAAACCTGGACAGGAGAATATTCTAGAGTCTGACATTGAAAGCATGTTCAGCTTTCACAGTCATTTCCCTGTGACTGTTCTCATCACTTCTGCTTTCTCTTCTTGTTCTCCCCATTTAGAAAGTTTAATTCAATTCATCAAATCTAATTAATTTTGATAAAGATGTAAAATTTGTATGCAATATGGATATGACCTCCATTTAGTGTAAGGTAAAGCATCATTGATCAGTGTTCTGAAAGCCAAAAGAAATCTTGGTCTCTGAAGAAAAAAAAAATTCTTTTTTTTTTTCCTGTGTTCTGGGCAAATTGGGTCCATGTGGGTGCAGCAGAATCTTTTCTGCAGCGAAAATCCAGAAAGTTTTTACTACATGTGTATTTTAAATATTAAGCATCATAACAGGCCTATTGATTTTTGTTTTTGTTTTGTTTTTTTACAATGCTAAATAATATAGTCAATTTAGTACACTAAGCTGTAATTGCACAGTTAACTTTCAATATCTAGACTGTAATACTTTTTCTATGAATATGCTGAGTTTAAAAGGCTCTGGCGAACTCCAGACTTGAGCAACATAGAGTTTCAAACCTTTGAATATGCTACATTATTGATGAGTTATTTGTGTAAATTTGGCTGTTTGCTTCTTCACTGTGTGACCAGAGAATTAAGGTTTCCAGATAGGCCTAAGAAAATCCTGCAGCTGAAATGCATTCCAAAAAAAATGATTCTGAATACATATTTCAAACGAATATTATGAGATGAAGATTTAAAGACCAAGTCAACATGTATTTCTAGTACTTTTAAAATCTTATTTCATGTTTGTTTAAGAATGGGCCTGAAGCCAGACAGCAGTGGCACACGCCTTTAATCCTAGCACTAGGGAGGAAGAGCCAGGTGGATCTCTGTGAGTTCCAGGCCAGCCTGTTCTATAGAGTGAGATCCAGGACAGGCACCAAAACTACACAGAGAAACTCTGTCTCCAAAAAAAAAAAGGGGGGGGGGCCTGAAATAGAAAATAGAAGTTTAAAGATATCGTTAAAGTATAACATTTAAGCTGTTCTGCAGATTAAAAACAAAATGATTTAACAAGATTGTAGAGTACACATGAAGTAAATTATATCAGAAAAATAGGACTACAGAATATACATTCTAAATTATCATGTAACTGCATTAAAAAACAGCATATTTCAACTATTTGGAGTTAAAAATGGCTTGGTTATGAGAGTATTAAGTGTATAGGTTTGCCAAATATTTTAATAAAAGTTTTCCAAACCCCTGAAAAAACAGCATAAATAAATATATTTTAAATATGTCTTTAAAATCAAAGTGCTAAATTAGTATACATAGAATTACGTAGAAATTACTGAAATTTTATGTTACTGCAAATATGGCAACAATGGCATTTAATCATTTGACTTAAGTATGCCTTGGATGATTTATAGTCAGAAATAAGAAAGTTTTATCTAAAACATAACTTTTTGTATGAAATGGAAACATGTTACTGTCATAGCTGTTAGGTCATTTCCACACCACATCATGTGACATTCAATAGGAGAGACACTTACTCTTAGTTGTTAGGTCTTGTTTTGCACATTCTCCTTCAGCTATTGATACATCATCAATGGCGATGTCACCTTCTATTCCAGGACCTCGAATGCCTTCAAAAATTAGCTACAAATATGAACAATTCATTAGAGTGGTTTTATTGTGCAGAAAGATATTCCCCCAGTTTCCTCTAAGCACACAGCACAACTCTTTGAGAAGTATCTTAAGGAATGAATCCATTATATTTTCAGTATATATTTTGAAAGCCAAGAACAGAACCATGCCCCATCCTGTCAAAATGCTTTGATGCTTTGCAGGTACACTGCACAGGTTCCTCATGCTTTTTGTACTCATCCTTTCACTTCCTGCTGTGATTTTACTTTGGAATTCTACATTTAAAACTTGATGCTATTATGAGTACAAACTCATACATTTGAATCTAGTGAGAAGTCTTTGAATTTCCAGTATTTACACTTGGTGAGCATGGAGGTTCAGTGAATGAGTATTGAGAGATCAGATGGAGTGATACCAGGTAGCCTTCCTTTATAAATTCCAGCTATGATAACAAAATAAGCATGACTAGATAATTTTAATTATTTACTTTTGAAGGAGACCATTTAGAATTATCTTCTTAGTCTTCAAGCTACCTCTTTCTTCCAGAAAAAAATTAATACTTTAGGTAGTAAAATATAACCAATGGATTTAATGTATTTAATGGTTGATACTCTCAAAATTTTCAAATAGAATATTAATTTGGTATTTCCAAAGAAACAGTAATTCAATAAATAATTCTAGTGTAAGATATTTCAGCCTGGTAGACAGAGTCTTTACAACTTAGTAAGGGAAATATTTTGTGAAGTCTTAATTAATAGATTTTATTTTTAATACTGTTTCCTGTTTATCCTTATTATTTATTCATGATAATTAAGACTGTACAAAGCTGTCTCTGGAATAATATCCCAAATAACCTCTATCACTGAAGAGAAAGTAAAATGGTGGGCTAAAGAGCAAACACTGAACCAAATTTTCAGCTTAGTTAGGAATTTTGAGTCTTCCAGTCCAATGGGCAGAAAGAACTATTTTCTATGCTTTGAAATAAGAAACTACTGAAGTTAGAATGTTAAGTATGAAGCCATCTGGGAGATGACTGCAAAGAGGTGGAGATGTAAGTATTTTGGGTGACCTCAGATGCAGACTCTTACTTGATTCAGAATCAATGATAGAATAAATCACAATTTGGCCAACCACATCCCTCTTTCATTATGGGATGCTGTCTCTTTGCTGATGGCAACAGGAACAAAGTGTCATCCTAAATCAGCTCTGAGAGTCTTGTTTAGTTCCACACAAACAAACGGGTTTCACTTTCGATAAAAGAATCATACTCTGTTGTAATAATGTAGTGGTCTGTCATTAGACTAGATTTTTATTTTATGTATTATAAATACTTGAATATTGTGTTACATAGATTTCTGTTGGCCAGTCATTTTAATTTTAGACAGAAGGAAAGTAAGAAGTGTTTTAGCTAGGGAATTTTGGTATAATAATTAACTATCGACAATAGTCTAGACTTTTCTTGCATAATTGTGTTCAATTACTCAGAATTTAACTTTGAATAGGTCATGAGAGGAAGTAGGGACAGAAGGTCAGCTAATAGTGCATATGGAGGACAATACAGGACTTGCAATGCGGCCATGGAGAAGACAAGGAAACTGTATTCCTATATGCTTTGTATGAAGAAATGATCTAAGAGTGAGGAGTCCACTAAGGGTTAGGTAAGATGCCCTACATGTGGGATTTAACATGGAAGTTGGAATCACTTGATTTAAACATTGAAAGTTGGAATCAAAATTTTCATTTTTGATTTTTGCAAGCGGCAGCTTTAGGAGTATTCAGGTTCTCTTAGCTATGTGAAAGTGAATAGTTTCATGAAATTAAGTTTACCTTAAACTATACAATTATGCTCACTTAGTAAATTCTCTTTATCTGTAGTTAGGAGCCAATATAAAATAGTAAGTTTATATTTAACATTAAAAAATGAAAGTGAACAAAAATCTCAAGACCATCTGTGAGCTCTTTGCAGCTGCTTCCTTAGGAAGCCATGTTTTAATTGTAATGGTCCATTACTCTAAAATTTTCTATAGTTATTGCCTTGTAAGACTGATGACTCCCACTGGTTCAATTATTTTAGTAATTATTGATTTTCTTTTTCTCTTCTTCCTGCCTTCCCCTGCAGTTTGACCAAAGTTGCAAAGTCGGATCTAAGCTTACATTGAAGACAAAAGTGTTGAATCAGGAGAGTTGTGAAAGATATGGTTCTTTTTTTCCCTTTTTTCTTTTCTTTTCTTTTTTTGGGTTAGATTGCAAGGGAGTTATGGGGGAAAGATTATCTAAAATAATTTAACATATGTGCTGTCTGCCCACTGGCAACGTGATGCATTACATGTTTAATTTACAAATCAACAAAAATTGAACCATACTTTGCCAAGAGGGCTTTCTATACCTAGAGCAATTCCTTACAGGATTATTTCATTCCTTCAAGATATTGAATTAGTGGGATGATAATAAAAGTTAGATGATTTGAACATTCATTAGTTTCACTGACTTTTATAACCACTGATGAGATCATTGGCCATTAAGTGTAGCAAGTTGATTTCTTTCTATAGAAACCTAGCATGAATATTACACATTCTATAGAATTAAAACAGGGAATTAGTTACCATTTACTGGTATGATAAAAATACTTTCTGACAAAACTCTTGTTACATGTGAAGTGTTTTTAATATTTATTTGTAACTTTGTGATTATTGGGAGTCCAATCCAGTGGGGCAGAGAGATATTATAGTCTTAGAAAGCTCTTCTAAGGCATAGTTGCTTGCTAATTTTTGTTTTTGAGATTATAATACAATTAAATTTATTCTCTTTTTTCCCTTCATACCTTCTCGTATACCCCCTCCACTCTTCTTCATATTCATGTCCTTGTCTTTCGATAACTGCTTTTGCATGCATTCACACACACACACACACACACACACACACACACACACACACACATCCCTAAATATAACCTGCTCAGTATGCATCATGTTACTTGTATGCATGTTTTCAGGACTGTTCATTTGTCCTTGGGCAACCAATTTGTATGCTCTTCCCCTGAGAAGACCACCTTTCCTGCTCCCAGCTTTCCTCAGTTGCCGGCAGTATTTGTGTAGAGGTGAGGCTTTGTGGGCTTTCCCCATCCACATTGGCATGCCCACTGGCATCGCTTTAGATGCTTGTTTTTGGTTTGGATTGTAGTTGTCTACTGAGAAGAGATGGACTGTTTTTGAATTGGTTGGTTTTCACAAGAATCATTTATCACATTGTTCAATTTATACACTCAATTCTACCTTCAAATTAAAATACATAGAAATAGTAGATTTATTCACAACATCAAGATTAAGATCTTGGAGATAGTTATATTTTTTAGGAAAAGGAAGATTATAGAAATAAGATGTTTAGGTATTCAATTCAAAGACTATGTCATATTTGACAGTTCAAGCCTTTATAAAAATATGTCCTTGCTGGCAACTTTCATGTATGTAGCAGAAACAGTAATGCAACACTGAATTTTATGTATTTTACCATGGAAGGGATGAATGAATTGCAATGTATTCAAACAATTACATTCACTTTGAGAAAAAAAAAGTATCTCTGTTTAAAAAGCTTTGTTGCATGTTTGAAGGGTTTCATTATTATTCTGACTACTATTTTATCCCGTGTTAAAAAAATATTTTTTATTGTGTACTTTTGGGTTGAATTTGGTTTAATATATTTGAAAGAGTTAATGGTATGTAGATATCAGGAGAAATGTCAAGGCTTAGTTTTCCTGAAAAACAAAATTATGTAAAACTTGTTCTTCCTGTTCTTCCTGTGTGACCCTGTCCACATTATTTCATGTTTTCTGCATTCAAAGCAGAGAAGTGGTGTTCAGCTCTGAGCACTCCCATGGCAGCTCACAAGCTCCTGCAACTCCAGCTCTATGCGGTTCTATGCACTCTTCTGGCCTCCACCGGCAGAAGGTACACACATGGTTAAAAGACCTACATGCAGGCAAAACACCCACACTTCAAATATTTCTTTTAATTGAAAAAGAATATTAACTTTCGGTGGATAACTTCAGATGGGGTTTTAAAATGGGGGTTCTTCATTAAAATTGCATCACACACACACACACACACACACACACACACACACAAACACACACTTGTTTCAAGTAATAGATTAACAGTTTCTGATGAACCAAGCTTTTATAGAGCATATGCACTTGACAACATAGAGGCAGATAGATTAAACTTGTGTTTAAATGCCATTTCTCAGTAAATGAAAAAGAGTTATGTGCAGAGTTAATGAATGCAAGTAGTTAAAGGATCAAATAGTACAAAATCTTCAGATACTGACTTCACTGTTCATACCAGCTTTGGCAAGTGTTCACAAGTATTTTCTTTCTGACAAGAGATAGGATCTCTCTGATTGTTACCATGGAGGGAAATATAGAAGTTTAAGGGTGTAGTTTGAAAACTGACTATGAATATCACTGGAAAAAATCATGATATTAATACATTCAGGTAGAATTAATAATGATGTTTATCTTATTAGTTCAATAAATTACTGAACTTTGCTCAGGCATTAGAAAAGATATGTGATGGTTGAATAAGGCACTGAACTATGAGTATAACAGAACATCAGCAGGAGTCATTTTATCATTACATTTTTGTTCTGTTTTTAGACCAGTTTTATGTGGTTTTACCCTGGGTCTCTCGGCTATCTAGTCTCAAGTTCTTGGTCACTCAAGCAGTGTTTTCTTCTATTGGTTTGTTTGTCTTGTCTGACATCAGTATGACAGTTTTTGTTTCATCTTCTTATATTTTATTTTGTTATATTTTTAAAACAATAAGTGAAGAATGGAAACCTAGCTACTGGAGTAAAAGCTAAACAACTGAAAACTGTCATTTATACTTGCTGGAGAGGGAAAAATTAGTTTTCCCCAAGTAAGTGACACTGGGTATTCAGGACATGCCTTATGTTCAGGAGTAGTTGACCAATAAAAATAATAGACTCCACATTTTTTGTGGAGCTTTTATTTGTTTATAGGTCAGTGGGGTTTTTTGGGGGAGAGGTTGTTTTGTTTTCTTGATTTTGGAGTTCTGTGGTTACATTAAGTTTTTGTTTATTTATTGAGAAAGAACTTAAAGTTGAGTGTTTCAGGCACAGGCAGAAGATCTGGAAGTACTTAGGGGAGGAGAGGAATATAATCAAAATGTATTTAATTAAAAAATTGTTTTAAATAATAAAACTATAATAAAAAATAAAATAAAATCTAAGAATTATGAGATGATGTACCCCAATAGGTAGCTAGTGATGGTTTCTTCCCTGGAGGAGCTGTCTCCAATATTAACTGGGAGTACAACTTTACAACACTCAGTTCAACTCTCTGAGTGTCAGTATTAAAAGCTTCAATCTGAAATAACAATCTAAGATGTGAAATGTTGGGGAGGACAGAGAAACAGCACATTGTGAACTATAAATGAGAGGTATTTATTCAGAAGATTTAATTTCCTATTTTGAATTATGCATATGGCTATGAGTCTTTCCATGTGTATGTGTGTGCATGTACCCATGGAGGCCAGAGGCATTGGAGACTCTAAAGCTGGAGTTATGTCAACTGCTTGTTGTGGGTGCTAAGAGTTGATCTAGGGTCCTCTGTAAGAGCAATATGCATTCTTAATCTATAAGTGATCCATCTTGCCCTTTAAAATGTTTTAAATGTGAATTTAGCCATCATTAAAATATCTGTATAATCCTCCTGGAACTTGACTCACTATGGTAATATATTGTGTACCCTAAAAAACTTGCTCCGGGGATCAGAGGACAGAGCCAGCTACTAGATTAGACATAGAGGCCAGACAGTGGTGGCACAAACCCTTTATCCTATCACTCAGGAGACAGAGATCCGTGTGGATCTCTGTGAGTTCAAGGCCACACTGGAAACAGAGCCAGGCAGTGGTGGCACATACCCTTGATCTCATTACTGGGAAGCACACACACCTTTAATCCCAGGAAGTAATATGGCAGGACACAGAAAGGTATATAAGGCATGAGGAAACAGGAACTCCATCTTGAGGCTGAGGATTTCCTAGAGGTAAGAACTTGTGACTGGCGTGTTCTGCATCTCTGATTTTTCAGCTTTCACCCCAATATCTGTCTCTGGGTTTTTTTTTATTAATAAGACCATTTAGCAATTTGTGTTACAACTCACCATATCAAATATAGAACTGTTTGAGAATATGTCTCTTAGTGACTGTAATACTTTCCAGATCGTTTTTATTGCTAGACAGTAAAGTCATGTTGAGAAAAACATGCTCATCATTTAGTAATAATTACTTATATTTAAATTTCTTTGAAATTTGTTTCCAAATATTTAAATGAGGATTCAAGAGTAAAGATCTTTAATTGCTTTAGGCAAAACTAATGAACTGTAAATGGTATTGTCTCATACTGTCTCTATTTTTGGAAAAATTTAGATTATGTTATAAACAAAGCACAGTATTAACAACAGAAATAAATAGTTTTCCTTGGTATTTGGTAAGTTTTGCTCTAATCCTTTTAAATATTGCAAAATAAGTTACCAATATATTATCATTACACTGATAGTGCTAAATTAATTCTATGAAAAAGCCCACAAAGAAATTTCCATATAATAAAACCTTTACTTAACCTACAATTCAATTTTATTTCGACTAGACAAACTGACTGAAGATGCTCAACAAAACAGGCAAGTGTGCATGTTGTACGAGTTTTTAGATCGATGTAATTAAATTTTCCATCAAGTGAAGCTACATCATTGGTTGTAAAAGAGGCACTCAACACCACTTATATCTAATTTACTCCTCCAAAAGAAAAGAGATATCTTAAAAATATTTTCAAAAGTTACATGTTTGAATGATATAATATTTTACAATCTAATTCATGACATATTTCTATCTCTTGTTATAACAATGCTTTTTGGTAGGTATGACATAACAAAGTATTTTAAAATTCTTCATTCTGTATAAATTATTTCAGAGTAAAAAAATTCTTAATTTGAAATAATTCTAAGTAACAATAAAGAAAAATAAAACAAATTAAAAGAGTATATTATGTCAGGGTATGAGTAGTTTCCTTGCACAGTTAAGATTAATGAAATGAAAGAAACATTTTAATTAAATAGACATTTTAGTCAATAGATCTAAAAATACATTGTGAAATAAAAGAACAGAAATGTCATAATTAAAAATTGTTACTTATCTTGATTTCTCGCTGGCAATTTAGCTAAAAATACACTGATGCAAAAT